ATTACAATGAGGCTCCGGGACAGCACCATATTAAGAAACTAACCTATAGTGTAAAATAGTACACTGTAACAATTTTGACAGCTATCAGTCTAGGGCGAATCCAGACTTTCCTATTCAGTTAGTGCGTAGCAAGAACACTTTATTTTTTTGTTCTCTTTTGAACATGCGTTTTGTGGGAGCAAGGAAATCGCTAAACATATAGAGAAAAATCTTTTACGTTATCGCTAAAAGTAACTTCGAGTAGTTCACCACGGCTCCGTGTTAAATAACGTGAACCTTTGTGAGCTTGATATTTTTTTTCGAAATTGCATATTGGCGTCTTTATGAAAGTGAATCCTGGTTTTGACAGTTTTCATTGTAACGGAAAACAGTTGCAGGGAGAAAAGGGTTGAAGCATTCCGTTCATATCGGACTCCCTCCCCCAGGTTTTAGTTGCTTTTCTCATAGTGAAAGAAAAGTATTGTAGCGGTTAAGGCAGCGTTCATACTTCGCGACAGCAGCGGCGATCGCGGCGACCTCGGCGATCGCCGCGATCGTCGGTACGTGGCAGAGCGCGCCCCAACGCTATTATGGACTGCTCGCTTGATAAATAAGGAAATCCAACTTGTGAGACCTTCTTTTCTCAATAATGGCTACTAACTGATAACTTACGACTTTCTATACATAAGCGGATCTGGAATATGAGGTAAGGAGGTTTCACTTCTTTTTAGGTCGGGATAAGGCCAACTCCATTTCCTGGGTGAGCTTCTTTTTTTTTTTTGTTTCAATTTATGCAAGCGCCTCAAATTCCTATCGTCTGAACTGTTCCAACTTCCAAAACATTTATAGTTTACAAGTCGAGTTCAAACAACGAAAAAAGAAACAGAAAGAAACTCACCTAGGAACCAAAACACTATCATTTTACGCAACATCAACAGGTGAAAAGGTGAAAACTTTATAACCTCATGTATAAGCTCGACGAATGAAAAAAGAAACAATAAAAACCTACCCTAAATGAAGCTCTCACGCTTTTTGCTCATTTCTATCCTGAATCAAGAAAGAAAATAGAAAACAAAAGCCATTAGTTGGGTTCACCTTTCTTTGTGTCAAACCAAGCTTCAGTATCTGAGAAAATTGCGCAAGTAATAGCGTTGGGGCGCGCTCTGCCATGTACCGACGATCGCCGAGGTCGCCGCGATCGCCGCTGCTGTCGCGAAGTATGAACGCTGCCTAATTGCCTACTCCACTAAACAGAACTAGAACTATATTCGGGTTGCTTAGTGTGTCGTGTTAGCCCCCGCTTTT